GATTTTATTGTTTGAAATTAATTTAATTAGTATCAAATTGTATTTTGATGATTAAACTTTATAATTTCAGATTTTATAAATGTCATAATTTTCAGATTTTGTAAATTTTATAACCTAGGGTTTTTTAATTATTGAAAATCATGATTTTAGGGTTTTTATGAACAATTGATTTAGGGCTTTTATAGTAATGATATTTTGAAATTTTGGTGATTATAACTAATGATTAGTTTAACTTAATTCCAGATTATTTTGAACACTTAAATTCGTGTTTTAATTTTTAGATTTCCGTTCGTTAATATTAATCCCGTTTTAATCCCGATCAGGTTCTGAACTCATCCGATTTTGATGAAAAAGTAGTGTTTTTCATGTGGAAACAACGTTTTAAGAAAGAATCACTACCTTTTGTAGTGCGCACCACCCTCTCGTGGCCAAATTCAGCCTCTAAATATGATTTTCGGGCAGTTTTTTTATTTTAACGAAATTTTTTTATACTTAAAATATTATCCTTGAGTTTGATTGATAAAATTAATTATGTTTAAAGTTAATTAAGCATAAATATATATGTTTTTATTGAAGTTTAAGTGTTGAAAATAGTTTCTAAGTACTACTTTTGATGTTTTATAAATAGGGTTTAATCACCCGATTATAAGGGAGATTATTAGGGGTTTTTAAATGATTTTAAGATTTTTATTAACCTTTAAACTTGCTGTAATTTCATGTATGAGAGTGTATTTTAAGGTTTTTATGAAGAAAATTTAAAGAACTATATATAAGCCTTTAAGTTTAACTAAAGGGAAGGTTTTAAAGTGTTGTTTGATTTGGATTTTGAAGGTTTTAAAGTTAGTTAGTATTGCTGTAAATTTGATTGATTGGGTATTGATTGAGATGTTATTATTTGGTTTAGGAGAGGAGTTTATTGAAGGTGATTTCTAGTTAGTAAAGTGGCATACCAATTCGTTTATTCAAGGTACGTACAAGTTACGAAACCTTGCTTGTAGGTGCATGTTTAAGGACGGATCGAGAACTTAGTATCATGTATAGGATTGACTGGGTTAAATTGTTTGGTTATACATTGTGAATTTCATATGATGTGCACTATTTTATATTGCAAGTATTATTTGTGCTCTAATTATGCAAGGTGCGCTTAGAGGCAAAGGTATGTGATTGGTGCAAATATTAATTTATTACTCATTCATGATTATGCAAACAGGATGAGTAAAGGAAGAATTTAAGTCTTATAAGACGAGGTTAAGGTTTTGGGGTGCCTTATGCACTCAAGGTGTATATACACCGAGGTAGTAAAGGAATAATTAATAAATGATGTTTGTCACTAATAAATCAAGAATTTAAATTGGGAATTTGCCATGTTTGGTTGAATTGTGTTTGGAATGTTTGTAATGTATATGAGTAATAAATCTTGTATTGTAATGTATATGAGTCATCACCAAATCTAAACCTGTAAATCACGTAAAGTGCAAGATGGATGAGTAATAAAACTCTGGATTGGTGCACATCTGGAGTAATGACAATCAGGGGTTGGGGTACATGGGGTATTAGCCGTGTACTTTTATCGAGGCCGTCTGATCTACAAGTCTCCTATTTCAAATATTATTTTTTTAAAACTAGGAGTTAGGTGAGATCTCATACTAACTACAGTCACGGAGTCGCGCCCGTGGTCGTTGGATTTTTATTGATGTTTCCGAAAGGAGGCATGGGGTTTTTCTTTTATTGATGTTCCAAATGGGACATGGGTTGGACAACCTTGTTTATTGCTAAATCCAATTAAATAAATAAATGAGTTAGTTAATATTAACTAGTGAAGTCTTAATAAATCTGATGGTTGAGTCATGTGCTAAGTCTATAATTTATTGATGCTTATGCTTGATTATTAGTAGCATGTTAGGTATTTCTTAATTTATTTCGCAGCTTGTATGTACTCAACTTTGCTGATTGTGTGCTTTATATGTCTTTATTTGGTCATGGCCTTCGCCTTTCAATGACCCTGTGACGATCCAATTTTTACACATGTAATATAGGGGAGCAGATTAACCACAGGTTCTTACACACGCAACATTCGCATCAGGGTTGTGGGATTTTGAGTGGAGAGTTGGTTATTATTCGCAGTTTATTTCTTTTCATAAGTTTGAATTTATTTAAACTCTGGTTTTTATTTATTTACTACTTTTGTGGGGTTTTGAATAAGGGCCTTAATGGTTCCAAGTTGTATGATTTAATTTGGTTTTGGTTATTGGTTTTGAAACTTATTTATAACTGAATTAGTTTTTCCGCTGCTATTTTCTGATAAAGCCTTAACATTTGAACACGTGGCGGTAGCACGCCAGTAATTCTCTTGGAATTGTTCAGGTTATTCACAGGTTTTTAAGAGAGAATTATTGGGGTGTTACATGAGTAAAGGTGTCAATTCAAGTATTTAGGCCGGGTTTGATGAGATCGGGTTGGCTATATTTTAAAGTTGACTTATGTTAAATTATTGTGTCCATATAAGTCAAAATTGAAATCAGAAGGGTCTGATCGGATTTGGTTACTCCCTCCGTGTTTTTTTTTAAGTGATACACTTTGATCGGCACATAGTTTTAGGCAATTTAATTGACTTAAATAAAATAAGAGGTAAGTGGGGTAGTGGAGTATTAAAAAATTGTTAAAGAAAGATAGTGGGGTTAATAGTTTATTGAAAAGTAATAAATGTGAGAGAAAAGATATAATAAAAAAGTAGTAGTGGGTCTGGGTGAAGACCATGAGAGGAGAGAGATATAATATTTTAATATATTTTTTTGCCAAAAAAGGGAGTGTATCACTTAAAAAAACACGAAGGGAGTAATAAAGTCAGTTTTTAACAACTCTACAAGTGAGTTTAATTGAAACATTTCTCATAATTACTCTTACCGTGTTTAAATAAATGAAACGTTTCTCATGTGTATGTTTGCCAATGCTAAACTTTCACTGAAAATATCTTTAATTATCAATAATTTAAAATTTATAGCATTAGTCAAATTGAATTAGATGAATAGTGCAAAAAGTCAAAACATTTCATTTATTTAGACATATAGAGAATATAATTTATACTTCAACAATTTCAAAACAAGGAGCATGACTTTATTCTTATGATCTTGAGTCATCATCTTTAGATTCCTAAGTTCTAAATACATACTTCAATACTTCAAAATGAGGAATATGACTTTATTCTTAGATCTTGAGTCATCTTCTTTAGAGAGTGGGGAAAGTTTATGTTCTTAAGTTATAATGGTTTGACTTTCATGCTTGTCAATGAATAATTTTAATCATTTTTTTTCTCTAATTACAGATTTTATTAAAAAAAAAAAACATTAATATTGTGAAACTGTCAATTGAAATGAATCCATTTCAATCCACATAACTCTATATTGCCTAATATATAAATCAACAAAGGTAGTACAAATGGAAGAATATAATAGTGCAAATTTTCAAACATTGCAACTAAAACCAAACAAAGGAATATAATTTTTTTTTTTTTTTTTTAATTTAGCTTCGTAAGTTGTAACAATCTAATTTTACCATAGTGGGTAAGAATAATATTTTTTTTTCGATAGAAAGTACACAAGCAAATAATGTAAGCAAAAATTGATCCCAAGTTTAAAGTACCACCCCTCAAATTTTTAATCAAGTAACCTAATTAAGTAATTGATCATCCACATTGTGTATAAATAATGTAATAACCTATATGATGAGTAAATAGATTTGTGCTTAAGGCCCAAGTCTTTTAGAACATTGCACTACCCTTTTTTCTTGCGTCAAACCAACTTGCACACCTACGAACAATCTACAGATTACTCTTATTCTTTAATTCATTGATTAACGCTACATGAAGTTAAATGTGTATATATATAAATAAAACTATTATTACAACAGAGTATTAAATAAAAAGAAATATTTAAATCGGATATGTCATCTTCTCCATCCATCACTCGCTTTTTATCCATTTAAATCAATTTATTGTCCGTTTATTCAAGCCACATGAATCAAAACATGGATTCAGCAGAAGTTCGAAAGGTTGACCTATAAACTTTTAAAAAAATCGGGTGTACAATAATTATTGTATATCCACTATAAAAATAGACTAAATTGATCAAAAGTTACCCCTAAAATAAATAAAAGTTACCCTAATATGCATAAAAGTAATCAAATACAAATAAAAATTATTAGTAAAGAATCACATTTTAAATGACTAAAAATCAATTATTTGTGATTAAATGTAATTAAATTACCATTATATAACTTTTCTTATTGTCTATTTATATAAAAATTGTATTATGTTAAAAGTTACCCCAAAAAAAGCAAAAAGTTATCCTAAAATTAGGTAAAAGTTATCCTTATACTGCTCGATGTACAATAAAATTAGTGTAAACCGGGTGTATACAAAAGTTTTTGATCAAATTAATGTACATATTTCAGTAACGTTTAGCCGTAATTTAAACAGTGTGGTTCTAAAGAAGAAACTCCAAAAAAAAATAAAAAATAAAAAAACCGTCAATTCTGACCTTTAAATTAAATTAACCATTATTTAAGTAGCCCCCGCCATTTCAACTTCCCTTTGTCTTTGCCTCTCTTCTCTCCCTCTTCTGATAACTTGGTAAGTGGCAATCTTCTATTTTTTCTCTCTCTCTCTCTCTCTTTTTATTTATTTATTTATTTATTTATTTATTTTTGGAAGTTGTTTTTGCTACCACTGTTTCCTCTATTATTTGATGAACATGTTTTATTTTCCTTTCTTTGAAAATTTTGCTGCAAATATATACTTGCTTGTGATTTCAATTGTTTAATTTTAAACTGAAACTTAAAATTAACTGATCAATGGATTTTTTTGATAATATACTTCCACAATTGAGTAGCTAATGTGTTTTAGAGTTAAATATTAATATTTAATTGTAATTAATTACTCGTACTTCACAATTGCACTAGTAACGACTTATATGCCTGATTTTTTTTTTTTTTTGTAATTTTTTTTTATTTTGTGTGTGTGAGAGAGAATGATTTAGTTTAAGATCTCTTGATATTTTTTTTGCGTAATTGGTCTTCAAATTTCTAAATCATTCTAATAATTTTTGGTATAATTCATTTGCTATCGGATTATATTATTATTCACGTACTTTACTTTGATTAGTTTTAATGATTTAGAGCTAGAAGCCTAAAAAGACATCTAATCATACTATCAATTTTTTTGTACAATTTTAGTTCATGATAAATGCTGCGTAAGTGCGTAAGTATATTAGTGATTGCAATAATGTATTGAGAAACATGAAATGAAAGTGTTAGCAAGTAAAAAGAAAATGAGGAAGTATTACCTTCCATTCTGTTTTGCTACTCCATCTTAGTTTACTTTCCCCATTTTTTTAAAGTACGATTTCTAAATGGAGGTCCCACATTTTTCTACCCATTTTTTTATCTCTTATTTTTATATTTGTATAAATAAATCCCGAAAAAATGGTTATGGTGCAAGTAAATTGGGGGCGAAAGGAATATTAAATTTTATTGTATGTATTTAATTTATTATTTTATAGGTTACAATGCAACAGAAGTTACTTCATGATCTTAATTAGCTGTATTTTTTATTCAAGTTGATGTAGTTGTGAGATCTACGGAATTACGGAAGTACTTTACTTCCTGATTGGGAATTTGACTTTGTTCAGTATTTCAATTAAAAAATTGATTGGGGGTCTTAAACACGATCTAATTAGGATATTCTTTGTGTTATCAGAATAATTTTAGTTTTAATATGTTATACTATAATCATGTGAAAAGAGCTGGGAATATGGTAGCCCATTTCGTGGCACAACAGGATACTGCAATGAACTCTGATCGTGTTTGATTGGACTCGTTCCTCTAAAGTATTATCATTCAGGCGGAATTGGATTTGAATTATAAAAAAATTCCAATGGTTTTTCCTCCACGTAGAAATATTTAAAAATTAATTAGGGTCTTAAACAATTGCAACTACAATACAGTTAGCTGCTGTTAATCTCACTGTTTCTGATGTCACATTATTTAAAAAAAAAATGAATGCAGTGAATATGACTTGGCATTGTCTATATGCTGTCCATTTTCGAGGAACTTCAAGTTGTTGCCTATATATAGTTTTTTGTTGCATTGTACCTGATCGTAGTCAGTATTATTGTTAACCTCGACTTGAATTTCTTAATTTCTTGTTCTTAGATATGGAGACTGTGCCTAGCTCGAGTTTGTACCCATTGCACCGATGTAAAATTCTCCATCTGGTTTGTCTCTACAAGCTTAACTTGCAGTGGTTTCGATCTCTATCATTTTGTTGTACTACTTTTTTAAATGTACTTGTATATAAAAGGTTTTTATCATATTACTATAGGTTAGGCATGCAGAAGGAATTCACAATGTTGCAGGTGCAGAGAAGTACAAAACATCTCCGGAACTACTTGATCCTCGCCTCTCACCACTTGGATGGGAACAGGTATTTTGTGTTTTGTGTCTTGATTCTTTAAAACTAGTATATTATCTATGGGACAGTATTTGGAGTTAAGTTGGGATATTGTTCTGTCATAGGTTGAGAATCTCCAAAAACATGTTCATGCTTGTGGGCTACTGGAGAGGATCGAGCTAGTCATCACCTCTCCTATGTTAAGGTATCTATCTGGTTTTTAACACAGATCTTTTCTGAAAGTTCAAGCTGTTGATGGTCACTATTGTTGCACATGTAAAGCAATGTATTGTTGATTAAGATACCAGGCTTTGTTTGGAGTGGTAGATAATTTCCCTAATATTTCATAGGTTAATTATCAGTAATTAAGGAAGTATCATTGTTTAGAATTACACTAGATCACTCCTTATACTATATCCTTATTCCCTAATATTCAATCTACTGTGATGTTTATGTTCTCTTGTATGGAGTATCTTTACATCTAAAGTCTGTAAATTTTCCACTTTCGACCATTTCTGGAGTTCATAAGTGTTTTTCTTTTCTCCTTGTTAGTTGAAAAAGTTATGAGTGATGGGATGATTCTCTCGTCATTGATATGTTTTTCTTCCTCTTGCTGTCCTGTAGATGCTAGGTGTTCTGTTTTCTAATTATTCTGATGCTTAATTGTTTTTGTAGGACAATGCAAACTGCAGCCATAGTCTTTGGTGGGGATAATCATAAGAATGGGAATGGTGCATCCCCTTTAATGTTGGAAAATGGGAAAAATGACCATGCTACAGTATCAAGTCTTAACTGCCCGCCCTTTTTGGCACATGAGCTTTGTCGAGAACGCCTGGTAAATCCCTTCTTTGATCTACTGGACAGTATGATGATGGATTGTTTCACTTCTGTTGGGAAAAGTCCATCTAATGGTATCTCTGAACCTTAAATCTAGTTACTAGCTAGAAACACATACTTATCTTTCTTGATAATGCTTCACAGATTGAGGGTATGTGATGAAAGTGAGTTTGTATGAGCCTGTGTGTCTATTGTTTAACTTGTACCACAATGCATCTGATTTGTGAAGCTTTGATACAGGGAGTGAATACGTGTGATAAGAGGGGAAGCATTAGTGAGTATAAGAGTCTATTTCCGGCAATTGATTTTTCCTTGGTAAGCACACTAGCTTTCTTTCTGACTTTTTGTTAACTCTATTGTTCCTAGTTGCTCACATTATCATCTTTCCAGTATAATCTACAGTATGCAGGCCTATACATACATTAAAAAGGCGATACAACTCTATATTGAAAAGATACACATATACAAAGTATAAACCTTATATGTGGAGTTTATACACATATGAAGTATAAACCATTATGTGGAGTTTATGCTCTTTCAAGTTAACAGCTGGAGAGAATATGGATGTTTAACTTCAGTTTTCCTATGTATTCAGATTGAAAGTGACGAAGACATCTTATGGAAAGAAGATGTCCGGGAGTCAGATGAGGAGGTTTCAGCTCGAGGAATGAAGTTCATGAAATGGTATGCAACCACTAAGCTAAATCTTTAACCAATTCACTGTCGAAGCAACCAGTACTTTTATGATTTATTAGAAATTTGCAAAGGAACCACAATCCCACTTCAGAATTTAATTATTTGTATGATATTTCTCCAGCTTGTCTTGGCTGATCAAGCCTGATCCGAGAGAATCTGGGGTAGCTCTCTTGGTAAGCTAGGCTCATGCCCTGTCTTTTGCCTTGGTTTCCAGCAATTTAATAAGCCTATATCTAGATTGGGTTATAGGGGTGGTGGAGGGAAATAATTTACCTTCCAAAACTAAAATGGAAGAGACATTTGTTATGTCGACGTTCTGAATAGAACAAACTCATATGCTATTTTCATATGCCCATAAAAAATTGTCACCTTCTCTAATATAATGGTTATGATTAGATTTCAACATACCACCATTGAAATTAGATGAGGAAAGGATGATCGTAAACTATTGCTATTCTTAATTATGGCCGTTTTGGACAATGAGACAACTAATTCTAGATAAATGGAGTAAATTTCATCTTATCATGATTTTGAGGAACTTACAACTATGTAGAATTAGTGCTCTACTTTTTCATAATCAATGCGCTATATGCTATTTCTTTCTCTGCTTTAACTGATTTTGCCCACAAGTTTGACTGATGTAATCCCAAAGGATGTATTTTGGTTTTTTATTGGAGTATATAACTTGTATAAGTTGGCTCTGAATCCACAATGTTTCCGGCAGGTTGTGGACTAGGGAAGAGAAGGAGATTGCGATTGTTACTCACAGTGCATTTTTATTTCAAACGTTGCCCAAGTTTGTGTACAATTGCCACCCATCAACAAAGAATGAGATTTGCAAATTGTAAGTGCTGCGTCTTCCTGTAGTTAAGAGCTTCAAGTACAAGCAAACTTTCACTAGTCCTAGTTTAGACAACTCTGGGATTAGGTTATTTACTTTATTTGTTCTTTTACTGATTTTGGTACCCAAAATTTGTGCAGCTTTGCAAACTCTGAACTGCGATCGGTAGTGATGGTGGACAAAAGGTGAGAATGCTTCATTTTCTTAACTAGGGGTCATAATGAGCTTTCCCTACACTCGAGTTAGGCTTGATTGAGCTTGATTTGAGTTTGAGGTTAACTGGAGACTTTAACAGAACAAAAATTGGTTCGAATAGTTTAGGAGCATTTATATAAATTATAGAATATACAATATTATGTAAATTAGCTATTTTGTTTTATAGTTATCTCTAGATATTAACATTTAAAACATGAATTTCATAAACTGAGGAAGGAGCTAAACCTGCATTTCAGAGTTTGATTAGCTTGATCAAACTCGACTACTGTTTTAGTTAGTGTGATTCACCTTAACCCTTTAAGAAGAATCTGTAAACAATTATCACCGTCCAATGTTTGTAATTACATAATATGTTCATCTGCAGTTTGAATGTAGTAGATGCTGCACAAACAACTCAGTCTGGAACCGGAAGGATTCCTTTTGCACTCGACTTACTCAGCGAAGTAGCGAATGCAAAAAGAGAATCCAATGACAATCATCATCAACAAATGGGGGTAACTGAGCAGAAAAAGAATCGTCATTGCTACTGTTTCATTGATTTATATATACGAAGTAAATGATAGTGATTGGGTTCTACTTCACTTAGAATTATTTATCCTCGCATGATATGATTTGGTTCGTATAGAATTAGCAATGCTATATATATGTAAAATTATAAAATAAACCTCAAAAAACAGTGTAGTTTCTTATATCTTGTGCAATATATGTTTTCTTAATTGCTAGAGTTTTTCGTCGTTTTTCTTTTTTTTTTTTTAACAATTTCAACATGTACAAGTAATATATTATCTTATGTGAATACATAGGATTTCACAAATGTCATACTTGTTCAACTTAATGAATCTGAAGATTCTTTTTTTTTTTCTTTTTAAGCCATACAAGTGATGCATGCTATTGTCAACTTGATCTTGTAATGCTACGTTAAATCCTTAACGGTGAGTTTGGATTGAAGAAAATGGAGGGAAAGGAAGGGAAGGAAAATGGAGAGATAAGGTATCTTTCATTTGGATAACTTATCATTCTTCCCTCCCGTCCTCTTCTCCTCCCTCCCCTTCTTTTCCTTCCCCTTTCTTTATCCAAACACACCGTTAAGTGATACATTGATACTCCCTCTGCAACATCTTATAGAATGTTGCAACAAAAACATTCCAGAAGAAAGAACATCAACAAAATGGAATAACAAAACCTAAACATGCGCTTTGTTTGGATAGGAAATCAGGAAGGAAAGGAAAGGGAGGGATAAAAGAGGAAGGGAAGAGAGAAGAAAGGGAGGGGGAGGTTATGCTTATTAAAGAGAGAGGGATACCTCCCTCTCCTTTCCCTTCCTTCCCCCAATCCTTTACCCAAACAATAGAGTTTGTCCCCCTCTCTTTCTCTTCCTTTATTTTCCTTCTATTTTCTTCTATCCAAACAAGGTGTAAAAGTGCAGGTAGTCAGTCATGACCTGATATCCAAAAAAGGGTGATTCGCCACAGTGAACTAGAACAATTATTGTAGAAATCTTCAAACAAATCCTATCATAAACCAATATACATAACTAAGTTGTTTTTCTCTATTTGCTGTAAGTTAATTAAATTTGCAGGGTCACTATATTGGACGATGTGAAATAAAAAGAAAACTACAATGAAACCAACTAATGGTCTTCTACAAAACAACTTATCACTACTGGTAAACACATATCTTCAATTAAAACTCCTTGCATAGAATACTGAACCCAGCATAATTGCAATGAGCAGAATGAAACCAGCAACCAAGGCATTAACATTTTTGGCGATTGATTTTTTGGGATCACTTTGCGATTTCTTGCTTTGGCTTACAATATGAGCAGTACCTGATATTTGATAAGAGGGGGCCACTACATTCCAGAATGGTTTGGCAGTCAAATTTGGCAGTTCATTCTCTGGTTGTAAGAATGTTGAGGCGCCTTCAGGAGCTTCCATCGACAACAACTCAAACAAGTGATCACTAAGGGCCTGTAAACAATAGTTTATCTAAACATCAAGATACGAAAATGGTGCAAAACATGTGCATAGTTTTTACTTTTGATAAAGAGAAAGGGGAAAAAAAAAAAAAAAAAAAAAAGAAGAAGAAAGTGATTATAAACTTAATTTGGGAGCTAACTGCACAAGTTAAAAATAAAAATAGCTTATATAACAGGGTACTCACACACTTTCTACACTTTTGAGAGCCAAGTGCACAAGTTTAACGAAATTACAGCAGAGCATAAAAGTGCAGGTAGTATAAAAGTATTCACCTGCTTTCTTTTCCAATAACATCCCACAGTTAAATGACAAGTCATGCATCTTTAACAAGGTCAATTTTTTTCTAAGTAAACCCTTGGGCTCAAATTGGCAAGCGTCACAAGCAGCTAATTTTCCACTTCAAACTCAAATCCAGCTAACTTATGATGTTCAATTCTATTAAGCAAACACTTCAATCAGGTCTTTTTATTTTAAGCTAAACTTCCAATGAACTTTCAACTGTCTATATTAGCAAACTTGTTGACTCCAACAAGTGAATATAGCTTCCCAAATTAAGACAGCTATTCAACTTCCATAAGCTTTTAACTAAACAATTTTCAACTGCTTCTCTAGCTAGCTTACCCTTCATAGTTGAGATTATTCTAAGATAACCCAAAGTTTGGATTAATATGGGAACACCGCTGATAGTTGATATTAATCATGTGAATTTTTCCTATTAATGCCTAGAATGAAAATAAAATCATAAGGGAGTAGTCTATTCCCTCCCCTCCCCCAGGGTAAACTTTCAGTGGCTTTATATGGTGGTTTGCCAGGTGGTGAATTAGATTTAATGTGGTCCTTAAGTTGGTTTGCAGGAAAGTGGTGGAGATTGCGGTGGTATAGCCAGTGAGGATGTGTTTGTTGTCATGCAAGAGGCTTGAAAGATATCAGAGGGAGATTTTTATCTGAAGAACATTGCGAAACTTCAAGGATGTGAAACAATGTCCTTCAAATAATTCCTAGAAAACTTTCCCAAATAACTTTTACTCTCTTTATTAAGTCAATGGAAACCAGATATGCCCTTAGCAGAAACCTTTTACCATTTTCAAAATTAAAACAATGAAATTGGAAAGAATATGTTGCAGACTTGCTGTGATGCAGGTGCATGTGATAAATCATTGAAAAGTAGGGAGGATAAGATTAAGGAAGAGGACATGGAGGGGAGAATACCGAGAAGGATTAGGTTAAGGAAGTAACATGGTGGGAAGATTACAGGGAAGGAGAAGAAGAAAGAAGACCATAAGCATTATTATCCTTTAGTGCACTATTTTTCCTTACAATTTCTCACACCTTTTTTCCTTTCCTTTTTTTTTTTTCCCCTCAAGAACTTCCTTTTCTAGCACACCTGTTAGGTGGTGGAGTAAGCATTGTTAGAGAGGGTCGTTAATGGCTGTGGCAGGGTGGGCAGGTTTTGAGGTGGTCACTTTTTGTGGATGGTACCATACTACCATGTATGGTAGATGTCAGTGGTCAATGACAATTGAGTTAATGGGCCAGAGAAAAGATGGCGGCGGGGAAGCCTAATAGCACCGGGCTGGGTGATGTTTGTGTCATAATATGTCGATGGTTGGGAAATTTCAGTAGTGGTGGCACTGAAAGACATGTCAGTGATGTCACTCTGTCACAATGGAGTAGGAGTTATGGTGGACAAGTGACTGAAGTTTTTTAATATTTTGAGGAATGTTAAGATGAAATAAACCAGCTAAACACCATAAAAAGAAAACATAATTGGATTACCTTTCCCATTTCCTAAAATCCCATAAGCAAACTTCCCTTAATGTTTAATGATTTTCATCAATTTTTATTAACGTAACAGTTTTTTCAACGAGTTTTTATAATTAAGTTCACAGGTTAATAAGTATATAATAACACGGGGCCATTTGTGTTTTACTTTTTTTTTCTGTTTACCCAATATAACAGACAAATTTAGGATTTCCAATGAGAATATCCCGAAATTTTATCAGGAGACAAGTTCAGTTCCTTCTAACAATGGTTTGCCTCAGCTTTTCTGCCAGGATTTACAATAACATTTAACAAGCAATTTTCAACAAGTTATGCCACACAGCACTGATACACTAATTATATATTTCAGAATAGTATGCATGATTACCCTCTTCCAATTCTTTTTTCCAGCAAATAAAATAAGAAAAGAAAAGAAAAAGTAACAGGATATTTGGCATATGAAACATAAACCACAAACCTCAAAGCTTTCAGCTGGCAAAAGATAATCACAAACGAAAGTGCCTGCCAGCCAAGGTATGAATACTCTCCGCGGAAATGTCAGCATGCATTGCTTTCTGCATCCATACAAAAAAATTATTTTATACAAATTAAAGATAAAAGGATGGTCATGTCAAACATGACTCCACCCCAAGTAACACATTCCATCAAACTTCTGTCGATTCAACATAAATAATGCAATAACCAGGTCTAAGCACACACAAGCCTTACATTATGCTAATTGCAGATTGCTTTGAAAAGATCAATAAAAATACTTTTAAAAGGGAATAGTGACAATAGAGTGAAAAAGAAAGCATGTAGATCTGTTACTACAGATACAAAGGGTTTGTTTTTTAGGGGATAGGAGGGAGGGGATACAAAGTGGGGCATTAAAATTGTAGAAGGCAATCAACAAAAAAAGCAATTATGATATTTATGACAAACCAAGTGGTATTAACTACTTCCTCCTTTCTTTTGTACTAGCAACACTTCTACAGCGCACACTAGTCACATACTCCAGAACTGCATTTCGTGATTTATACTTACAGAAAAACAATGTCTACTTCATTACATGTAAAATTTATAATTTTTACTAATGCGTGATTAAAGATATTAACGGTTAAAATTATTGTTCATTGGCAAACGTGAAAGCAAAAATGTTAAAATCTATCTTAAAAGAGAGAGGAAGTTTTATGCACTTTGATGCTCAATCAGAATAGATTAGATTTTTATTTTTATTTTTTTCTATCTAACTCACCCACAATGGAAAAACTGCTGTGTCAAGAATTACCTCAAGGGCTGCTGGATGATCTGGTTGATAGAGTCCATTTTGGATGTCTTTATATATGTTTCAGAACCATTTTCAGAAGCAGTAGCAGTTTCCCTATCAGCCTCGTCAGTAATCATATCCAATCTGGTTCTCAAGCTCATGATGATATCTTCCTACATCAAACAAATATTCGTGTAGAATTGAAAATGGTAAGAAGAGAGCCAGTAACAGGACAAAAGAATCTAAAACCTACTACAGGATAGTGATGATATAGTTCTTGCTTATTGATTTTCATAATAGTATACATCATTAAAGCCATGCCTTTGTCATATCAGATTCTACTAGTATCATAAGTATACGGAACAAAATGTCCCTGGTTATTCAAGATATTGAGACAAGAAACTTATACACAATAACAAAATTCCAAAGTACATCCTATTTGAAAATACCTTAATATCAGCCACTGCTTGTGAAATAGGTTCTTTTGAGTTCAGATATGAATATGAGCACACTGTTCCCGAAAAAACAAGGATACCAACAACATTATTTTGGCTGCTGGCTTCACACACAACCACAAAAAAAAAAACAACATATTCAGAATTTATGCAAAATTAATAGTAATTGCAAGATTGAGAATTATATCAGCACCTTCTGATGATGTGTCTTTCATAAAAGGAAAAAGAATTTCAACTTCATGCACACCACCAGATGCACATGACCCATCCGTGATTACATCAACCTATCAAAGAATCAAAGATAGCATGATGAGAAGCTCCAAAATATATATGTCATAATGTATACATAAGAATACGAAAAGGTAATGCCATAAGGCCCATAATCATAGACAACACGGTCTTCAATGCTCCAACATAATAATAAGGTTTCTGTATGCATGCCAAAGATAAAACTCAATCTAGGGGACATACATTTGTATTTCCTCTGTTATTTGCAGTTTTAAAAAACTATTGAAGAATGTGAGGGTGTGTAAGATGAAGCAGGATAAAGTAAGAGAATGTAAAAAGGTGGGTTTGTATAAGAAAAAAGTGAAAAAATTAAGAGAGAGGGAATGATAATGTGTAATTATTGTGGGGATGAAGGGGTAAGATAGCAAAAGGGTAAGCCAAAAATAAAATAAAGCAAATTGGGTAGAACAAAAAAGAACAGACGGAGTATATAAAAGGAGTATTGCAAAAACCATCATACTATTAAACAAGATTACATGGGAAAGGGTTTGATACGTGGTATGAAATAGATATACGGAACGCTACGCATGGTGAATCCAGTACAATTGAGTATGAAATAAAAAAATATATAATAATATGGTTGAATTTTTATCAACAGTTTTTTTTTGGAAAATGAAATAAATATATTTCTAGTAGTGTATTATATGGGCGTGTATGTGGTTTGTTTTAGAAAAAACAGTATATCTCCTACGATTGTTATTAGTCGACATCTTTTGACTCTTAACTTCATTCACAAACTTTAATTAGACTAGTTTTTGTGATTTATAGTTATTATAAAACATAATAATATGGGATTTTGTTTGAATTGTCTTAATGTATCATTCATCAATACCATCTTTCTGTAAAGAAAAAAAAAAACAAATAGTTGATAATTAGAAATATTAATCATTAAACTTGTGGCTTTTGGAGAGGGTGGAGTGGGCATTTTGGGATGGGTACAGCGACTTCAAGATGGTGCGGTGAGGTTTCGGGGAGGGTTGATTTAGTTATGAGTGGTTCGGATGGTGTTTACGGGGTTGAGATGGGATCGGCGAGGGATTTAGGTAGTCATGGTGTGGGAAAGAGGTGGATGTCGAGATGTGTTGGTGTTGTGGGTAATGTAGATGGTGGCGGTGGTGGTGGTGGGGTCGTAATTTAATCATTCCCACTATCTCTCTCTTAACCTTAATGAGAAGCCCTTCAATTTATTAATTAAGCATTAAGATTTTTTGCCTAGAAATTTGTACAATCAACACACACACACACCGCACACGCACACGCACACGCGCCCGCCCGCCTGCCCGCACACACACACACACACACACAATTGCTACTTATGAAGGTATAAAAACCCTCATGAAAGATGTAATTAATATTAATAGAGAAGAGTGAGATGGAAGTTTTATTAGTAGAAACCTTACCAAATCACCATCAACGATTGCTTTTGCTCCTTTTAACTCCTTGACATGATTTGAAATCCCATCAAGTAAGACATCATTCATCAATTTGGCTTTTGACATATTTTCATGAGTAAATGGCAATCTGATAATGGTTATAACAAAATTTAAACACCATAAGTATATGCTAATGCCTAAAAAATTAGTTTGAGAAAAACCACAAGTTAATTCTGCAAAATAAATTATAGGAATGGTCTTCAACAAGAATGATAAATTATGGTATTATTTGGTTGACATGAGAATTATATTGCCATAGGCATTTGTATCTCATCGAATTAAAAACCCACATAAAATTTCCTAAGAATTGGCTAAAGTTGTTTGATTGTTAACTTGTTATGAAAGCATTTTGCAAATAATGCGAATGTTAAAAATTCCATAAATTTACACTTCCTACATTTTCAGTTTTTATGGTCAACCAAATAAATCCTATATTAAAATTCACATGAATTTTCAATTCCCCGATTTTTTTTTTATTTTTTGTTTTTTGGCAGCCAAACAATACCTAAATTGCAAGTAGTTCCTAAAGTCTGGAATCAAGGCATTATGGGACCGTCATTATTACAAGAAAACACTCGAGTTTTTTTGAACTGGGTGGTCAAATTCAACCTCCAGACTCAAAGAAGCCGTGATAAGACAACTCAGACTAAATTCCCATCTATGATTTTAGCTTGTGTACGGTTGTTTGACATGGTGGTGCTTTGCAATGACCAATGAAAAAGATTATTCGATGGGGGAGAAGTAATTGTAGCTGGTGGCAGCTTAGTTTTAAAAAGCGCAAGGCGCACCAAGGCGCAAATGGTCCTTGCAGCTTAGGCGTGAGGCGCAAGGCGAAGGCGCGCACCTTCTGTATGCAAGGCGCATGTATTTATATATTTATTTCAATTATTTTTTACTTTGATAGTACTTAATACCAATTAAAAAGATTCATAATAAATTAAGTAATGATATATTTAAAGTTAAGGTAGTCTGAATTTGAAAAAATGTCCATCATTCTTCAATTTATAACTTAAATCTTAGTTATTTTCCTTGAGGCGCAAAGGCGCGCCTTACCAAAGGCACTTTGAGGCGCACGAGGCGCGCGCCTTCCATAGGTGACTGAGCCTCACCTAGCTAAAGCCCATTTCCTAGAGCCTGGGAGTGAGGCGTGCCTAGGCAGTAGGGGAAAGCTAGCAATATTGTGGTAGGGGGGGGGGGTAATAGAGAGAGAATGAGTAGGAGAGCCAACGATACAGTACCAAGTGGACAACATGACCTACTACACAGGGGTCATGTGAATATTTTGAGAACATACCCCATGATTGAGACTCTACTAGAATAACCCATTGTTGCAATTATATGAGAAAATGGGTTATGGTTGGGGTCATAGTAATAAATTTGTGCTTATAATAAACCTTTTAGAATTAGTAATTAGTGGCCTTGTGGGCCTTTAATAATTATAAGAGGTCTCAGCCATTTTACTTACCACAAGTCCATATGATGCCAATTCTCTTTGCTTTAGAATTAGAAGACAAAAGCTTATCAGCCTCCTTCCCTAATTGATCTCTAATTCTTTACAAACATCTATTCACCTCAAGCCACCATTGGTGTGGCTTCTTATAGCAATGTGATTTAATGTAATATAGAAATTATGGTAATAATTGAGTGATAAGTCTTTAATGCAATAACTCAACGTTTTCCTAGCTAGATCAAAGTTTTCCTAATTGATCTCTATTTCTTTATTGCTAATCATAATAACTTAGCTAAAAATTTTATTTTCTTTACTTATGATACAAGTTCAAAATTAGAGTTACTATTTCTTTTTCCTGATAAAAAAAAGGACTTTAGTGAATGAATTAATTAGAAATCAAATTCTCCCAACCTGATTTTTTTTATAAGTCAGTGAACTGACTTTTGTATACAAAAACAGTAAAAAGGAAACCCTGGTTTAACTAGGAGATAAGCAAAGCAGAATACTTAGTACAATGAATTTAAAATAACAGATGGATAAAGGGAAAAATAATAAACATCCAACAATCACAAACAAACATGAGCCAAACTAATAATTATACAAAACATCTAGAGATATACCTCATACAAAAACTGTAGATGCACCGAAAAGTTTGGAGGGAATTTAGAACTTTTCCCAATTTAAAATCACAAGGTCGAAGGCTACTTGATGTTATATTTGAGGACACTGAGCAATTTCGACACGTCCACCTGCTTGAGTGATATGTCAATCTCATAACCTAAAAGTTTCAGACAAAAACAATCTAAAGGAGAAAAAAAAAATGGCAACAGGAAAAAAAAATAAAGTTACCTCCTAGGGCTATAAGATATGTGAAGAAGCAACATTTCATCAGAACCATTTTCCAATAAAGGAGCTGCATCTGCTACTCCTGTAACAGTCTGAATAAAAAAAATATCTAGTCAATTCATTCCATTGACTACACACAAAAGAAATATGGAGCTTAGGCACATAGAATTTTCAAATTCATAGCTCATTAATTTCTTTGTGCATAAAGAATGCCACCAGAAAAAGAATCTGAAAGAATCTAGGGTGGGAATACTATTATATGGCCAAAGATTACAATGATACGAAGTATCTAAACAAAATATGCAGAAGTACTAAGGTCCCATTTAATTCAACTTGTTTTGACTTATTTCACACCAATAAAGTTCATAAATATTCAGACAAAAGTTCACACAAAATACATTATTTTGTTCCAAACAAAATAAGTTTCCTCAGGCAAATTCACAATTTCACATACAAATAAGACAGCCTCAAAATAAAGTAATAAATTTTGAAGACAAAATATGTTCAAATGAGATTTGTTTAGATAGTTCAGCCAATCTACTAGCCTTCTACCTTCTCTCTCTCTTTTCTCACATACCTAGTTCTTTCTTGTTCGTCTTGGGGCTGCCACCAGCCTTTACGGCGGTAGTAAGCCCCTTTTCCTTTTCTTATTTTTAGCAAGATCTATAATTATTGTCACAATAAATCTCCATTATTGAATGTATCTTAACCCGTATTTGGGTTTAAGTTATCTTTTTTCAAAGTTTATGCAATGAGGTCAGATCTTGTCAGACCCTGCATAGAAGGTTTTTGCAAACAACGATATGGGAAAAAGTTTGAAAAAAGGATATGTAGGTTTGATCACATCAACAAAGATCATAGTTTTGCAAAATTAAAGTTTAATGTGATTTAATTTTGTGCGTAATTGTTAATCTTTGACTACTCTTATAAAATACAGGGTCTGGTCACATGACTGTTGATTGATAAATTAGTTTTAGTTTCACATATAAATGAGATCAAACTAGCAATAAAGCATTTCCAAGAGATTATTTAAACATTAGTTAAATTATAAAGAAAATAATAATAATAATCATATATCTATCTAATATATAAAGCTAAACTTTAAGCCAGGTCACAAGGCAGCGACACTTGACATTCTAACTTTTCGCCAAGTGTCGCGCCACGTTGGATATATTTAAATAGATTTCATAAGATAAAAAAGTTAGTTTAGATTTCTATTTGGATAGAATTTTAGGATAAAATTGTTAGTTTAGAGTTTATTTTCGATAAAATACCAATATTTCAGATGTACAAATTAAATTATAATTTTATTCAAAAAAATTATTAGATTATACTCCCTCCTTCCCATAATTACAGGCAAATAACTCTAAAAGTACGGTTTTTAAGGGGGATGGAAAAAGTAGAGGAATATTGTATGAAAAAAAAAAAAAGTGAAGAATGTTGTATGGGGATAAAAAAAAAAGTGGAGAATATTGTATAGAAAAATTAAAAAGTAAGTAATGATTGTTTGAGTATGTGTGTACTTTGTATGAAAAAGTGAAAAAGTAAGTAATGATTTTTTAGCTACGTGTGTAATTTGTATGAAAAAGCGAAAAAGTAAGTAATGATTAGGTGTTATTTTTAGTAATAGGAGAATATTTTAGGACACCCAAAATAGTATATTTGCCTTTAATTATGGGACGGAGGGAGTAATTCACAAAAATTATCATATAAACTTATTTTTAATATCATAATATTTTTTGCAGCGAAGGAAGTACGTAGTTCAAAGCGTAAAACATCCATTTATAATATATACCGGTTATAATCTAATATAATTTTATTACTATGTAGTTGTGTCAATTAGGGTCAGGTCATGAGTCATTTCAGGTTATGAGTCACGAAATGTTTAACCCTTGCCCAAAGTTTTGGGTTCGGGTCGGGTCAACCCAACGGACTTTGAACATTTATTTTATTTTATTTATTTTTTACTATTTTTTTTTTTTGATGTATTAAATCGAACATTTCCACCAATTCATATAGATAGCAAATCATCACAACAATACTTCAATTCCTAACTAATTTTGTATCAATGATATATCTTAAAATTTGACATATAAATTAAAAATTTATCTTAAAATTCAATAAACAACCCGGGCATCACACGGGTACAAAACTAATACTCCCTCCGTTCCAAATTACTTGCAACGTTTTGACTTTTTGCACTACTCACAAATCTCACTTTGACCATCTTTTTTAGCTATTACATGAAAGTCAATGTAATCATGTAAAATATTATTGGGTTTATTTTAATGTATAGTTTCTTAATATGAAATTTTTATAGACTTTATAAATATATAATAAAAGATATCGACGGTCAAACATGTGCATCGTCAAGCGTGTACAGTCAAAATGTTGCAAGTAAACTACTTGGGACAGAGGGAGTAGTAGTAGTAATAATAATAATAATTGTAAAAGTTGATATTATGAAACTAACAAAGCCCTACATAATTTCTTTTCTAAGGTAATAATATGGTCAAACAAGAGTGATGGAGGAAGTAATCATTTTTTCATTATTTACATATATCATTGCGATATTGTTTCCTTGTTTTATTTATTTTATTGATTTTATACACTTTTTGTAAATATTCTAAAGAAAGTAATCCACAATTTCCATATCATAACGGATTATGAAATTATTATAATCACAAAAAGTCCCAATTTCTATTCTGTAAATTAGGTTTTATATAAATAATCCTTTATGATACAGCTCCCTTCATAATCACAAAGGTTCTCAAAGAAAGAGAGAGCGACAAATAATAATTCAACCATTAACATTTCATATCTCACAAAGAAGAAAACTCCAATGGCTCGTACAAAGCAGACTCCACATAGATATTCATCATTAAAGGTTATAAAAAAGCAATTGAAAACCGCAGGTAAGTCTATTTCACGAGATGGCTTGATGATGCCCCATAGCAATCGGCCTCACAAAGTTGTTCCTCATGACAACCAAAAGTCTCGGGATGCTATTCGAAAAAATCCTTTCACAAAAACTGTATGTGAAATAGCAACGAAAGTTGGCACACAGTTAGAAGACCAAGCTATCTCTACTCTTCACATAGCATCAGAGAAATACCTTGTTGATCTCTTTGAAGCAGCTAAGTTGTGTGCAATTCCTGCTAAGCGTGTCACTGTCATACCAGACGACATATCTATGGCTAAAAAGATCTGGAGAGTACGTGAAAAAGGCTTATCCTCTAGAGAAAACTAGGGGATTCCAATCTAATGTCACAGATGTAGTATCTAGTCTGGACTAAATACTACAGCATGGAAAAACTAGATCAAACAATTGCTATTAGCCTAAATCTTTTTCCAATTATTGTGGTTTGTATTACTAAGTTATTGTCATTTGACTCATTATCTATGTTGTTTGGGAATGATAAGTTATACCCAATTATCAGAAATATAATGGTGATGAGATGATTAAATAATGACAATATTGAATATTCAATACATATTAATGTATGGATTCTAAAACTAATTCTCCGGTGTCCCAAAATTCTGAAGATTTGAGTAGATCGACGCTAAAATGAGGTATAAGAAAAAATATCATATAAAGTGATAATTAATAAATCAAGATTAGTAGAGAATGTTGAAGCCTAGCTGTATCCAAAGTGAAAATGCTATACACTTTTGGAGTTTAGTCCTGTATCTTCTCAATTTCTATGCCTTGGTCACAGAACAACACTATACCAAATTGAAATCAAAGCCAGAACACCACTCTACCCATTCATTTTTCCAACCTATGTGTAGTAGAAGTCAGATAAACATGTCGAACTTGAGTATGAATCAAACAATGAAATACAGTAATGGTTGATTTTTTCTTGATGTAACTGTTATAGACTAGTATTGCTGCTGCAAATATTGTAATTTGATTGTAAGATTAATAAGAAAGATTGAGTCTTTTTAAATGAAACTAGCAAAAGGTTACAGGATAAATGTAACTTTGGGCTATAACTCTTGGTGGTAGCTTGAGGCTACTAGTCTCACATTCAAAATGTCACTCAATTTCTGCCAAACATCCTAATGCTAGCCTGCTTCTCTTTTATACTCAAGCACTACCATAACCCTAACATTAGTGTATTTAGGCCCCATTATATTGAAGTATCTCAACTCTCAAGTCAATCATCCAGAAAAATGGTGACATTGATCAAGACGTGGTCCACAGGATTAAGTCGGGGTGGCTTAAATTGAGAGCAGTCACGGGAGTGTTATGTGACCGAAGCATTCCCTTCCCTTACAGTTGAAGGGTATGGTACAAAATGTAGGGCTTCTAAGAAGAAGCCCTTTATAATCCCGGGGATTACGGAAATGTACATGTTAAGGTGGATGTGCTGAATACTCTAAGAGATAAAATCAAAAATGAGGTTATTCGCAAGAAAGTAGTTGTGGCAAGCATTGCAGACAAACTAAAGGAAATTTGTCTCGTTAGTTTGGGCATGTAAGACGAGACCCGAGAGTTCACCGGTACGAGTCGTGGAAGAGTGGGACCATGGAGGGGTTAACAAGGGAGAGGGAGACCGAAAATGATTTGGCTGGAAGGAGTTAGGAAGAATATGAAGTATATGGATTTGTATGACAATGAGGCATTGGATCGTAAGGGATGGAAGAGGAAGATTTTTGTCAATAACTACATGGAATAATCAATTTGGTTCATGTCGCCCACCCCAATTATGGGATTAAGGCTTTGATTGATTGATTGAAGATTGGTCAAGGCCTACAATAATAATTAAAACCAATAAATGAAGCATTTGAAATATTATGTTTAACGCAGTCGGAAAGGTAGAAAGAAAAGCAAGCGCTAATCCTTCGCGAACAGACAGATTTACAAGCGATAAATCTGTTAAAATACTCCGGAATCCATCAGAAAAGAGTTAGAATATTATAAAAATGTCAAAAACTGAATATTAAAGACGGCTAAAACGTTTAAGTAGTCTAAACAAAAACCTAATGCGAAAATAAAATAAAAATAAAATCCGGAAAATGTTTAAACGCTATTTCCGGGCCTTAAACGAACTCGGATGGCTTAAAAAGCCTATCAGTGGTTGGACTCATTGGCCCGTTTCCATTTCCGAAAACATATTTTATTAAGCAATCTAACTCCGATAGCCCGACTAGTAGAAATCATTACCCTTAAAAACTGAAAATCAAGCTTTATGACGTTGCACTTCTTCGTCAAACCGAGAAGCTAACCTCTCTACGTCAATGTTATACCTTAAAATTTACAATTCCTAGCCCAAACCCATCACCCAAGCCATCTCTTCATAATTACAACGCAGAGCTCCTCCCTCAAACACTCTTTCTCTCCACTCCACCATCACACCACCAATCACTCGCCAGCATCAATACAAACACAAAAGTTGGTTGTGGTCCACTCATCAGTAATGACACAGACACAAGAATTGAACTTCTACTTTCTACTTTCTCTTGTTAAAATTTAAGAAAAAAGGAAGGACAAGCGTTGTTTGAAGACTTCCATCGGTAAGTCCTTCTGTCTCAATAAAGAAATAGTAATAAAACTATTAGTGATATAATCATGATGATCATTTACTAAATTCCTTTTGGATGTATGAAATCAGTTTTTTCTAGTGATGACTTCCCATTTGTAACTCACATTTCCGTTTTCTTCTTTTTTGAACATCAGTTACTTATTCCTCCAGAAAGCTGACTCTAAAAAAAACAATAAACTAATTAAATCTCCAGACACATGAATTACTACCATTGAGGTTAATCATTTAACAATCCACAATTGAATCCCAATAATGGAAGAACCTTGAGTTCCAAAATGCATCATAATATACGTTGACAAAATGGAAAATTTTATAGTTTATCAATTTACACAATAAATATGACAAAATACACCTGCTGATTCCACGACATTGATACTGTCATCCTACTGTGATTGTGAACACAACGCAACTTTTCTATGCCTGAAAAACCTCTTAGAGGTCATCATTATTCGTACACAATTGGTGTTAACTACTTTGACTATTCTCGATGCATATACAAGTTCCTAACTTCAATTTTGGTAAGAATATGAGGCGGAAAATTTTTGTTGCATTTTCAATGCTATGTCATTTGTTGATGTTATCGTAGGATAGGAGTGACAAGATATTTTGATGTATAATTTCTCACCAAGCCTATTTGAAGGATATGAATTGTCCCCTTGGTCTTTTAATTTAAATAATTTTTGGTCTTATCTATAACTAATGCATAGCTTGATTGACTAAAATATAATTTGGTCTTTAGCATTTTTTTCCTACTCAGCCATAACCATTATTACATAAAAACATTAACATGGTATACATGACCAACATCCCAAAATAGATGGTATACCTCTAATTAAATATCCCCATCAATGGGATGGTTGGTCACAAGATGAAGAATAGAAGCACTATTGTTTCAGAAATATATAATGTTCAATTGGTCATGAGGTGGTGTTATAGCCTGCAGTAGGAATCAATAACTATATACTAAAAGACACACCGGCAATGACACGTGTCATTTTCTGGTGTGTCCTTAGTTTTTTTTTGAATAAAATTTAATTAAAGAAACAAAATTTATTTACAAAAATAATTCTCTAATCTTATACGATATAATTACTTTAAATAAAAAAGATTTGACATATATTTTAGCTATTAAAAATTTCTTAACTTACAATGTGAATTCCTTTATTTTACTAATTTTCAACATCGTTTTATATCTAACATATCTTACAAAATCCTTTATTTTGCTCAAAATTTGTCAATATTTTTAGATTTTTTTTTTTGTTTTATAAAAACTGATTATAATGATAGTTTAATAATGATTATTAAAAATTACCGTGCATGTCACGGGAACTAACCTAGTATATTATTAAACTCACAACTTAGGCATTAACATGAAGACAAGCGACAAATATGTTTCTATTTGTGAAAATTTAAAGTTTCCACAGACATCAGGTTTGTACAGAGTCTACAGATCCATGCCTTTGCAAACATCAAAGATACAGCCTTAACACGAAGAGTAAGGTAGAAGCAATATATTTACCTGGCAAAGTACTAAAGTTGAATTCTTGAAGGAAGTTTCACCGACCCAGACATATATACCAACAACCTTAACACCACCTACCAGCAACCGAGAAACCTGCAATCAACAAAATCAACAACCTTGAATCCAGGTGAAGAGACAGAGAGAATTTTAAACTACTAGTATAGCTAAAGAAAAACTGTTTTGGATCCAAATTTATAGATGCGCAATGAATCCTAACGATAAGGCTTAGCTTCCATCAATATTTTCAAAGAGTGCCAAATCAGATATTAATACATACTTTTTTGTCTGATTCATAAATAAGTAATAGACATGAAAGTAAAGGAGGAGAATAAGAAATACAACAAGTTTGGGATTCCCATAATGTGAACCCTGATAGAAGCTATATAAATAACTAGCTCCCAGGACTTAGAGGTCTAGCACAGTGTACTGTGCATGGTTTAGGGTCTTATTGCACAGAATTGGTTCCTAATTGCTCCAAATGACTTCCTTTTGAGGCTTTCCCATCATGAGCCCCCAATTACCAACCTCTACATATAAAGTGGTAGATAGAACTTTTAGCAACTCAATCAATTAATCAACCAAAGCCCTAATCCCATAAAGGCCATAAGTGGGGTTCGCTACATGAACCAAAAATGATTATTCCGCGTAGTCATCGACAAGAATCTTCCTCCTTCATCCCTTACCATCCAATGCCAACTTTAAGCAATTCAAGTCCAACAAAAATAAAAAAATAAAACCCACGCAGCGCAGCAAGGACAAAATCTATGTAACCTCTTACCTAGACCCGGATATGAGGGATCCAATATTGGTATAGATCTTAATGTCTCATACGTCAATCCCGAAAATCAAGACAAGGGGGGGCCGTCTGATTTTTAGGACATGGTTACAGATGTGTATTTTATGCAAGAAAAATTCTTGGTTAATGAAGATTTATGCGGTGTCGCAACAAAGGTCAATTTTACACCTACAACAAATCTCGTTAAAATATGTTCTATTTCAAAATTATAATAGATTAAATGACCCCGCATGGAAATCTATATCAAACAACGGTATGAGATAGTATTCATCAATGTCTGATGTCATCGACAAGAATCACGATTTTGCCCGATTAAAATACTATTGATCCAATTTAATTTGTATTTGCTAGGCTTGATTTTTCTAGTAAATTTTGTATGACTTTTCTATTAATGAATAAATCTTACTTTGTTGAAAAATCCGTAGTTGGCAATAAATTTACAACACCGAAGAATCACTAAAACCAATCACCAAAAAAAAAAGAAAAAAGAAAACATAGCTCAATAGCCAAATAAAGTCCGATAATTATCAGAGGATTCTCAAACTAAAGACGATTTGAATACCATGCGATTTCACATTATTAGTAACACCAACCACCTACATCATCTCCCAAAATTCGCGAAAATCCAACAACAAAGTTCTAGCAGTCCGTTAACATTCCACACCATTAAAACCAAACTCAAATGCAATTCCCAAACAATGCACTACAAATGACATATTCTCCACTAGAAAACGCAATTCAACATCCAATAAAAACCAAATAATTATAACAGAATACACAAACTAAGGACATAATTCTATAATTCAAAGTTGAAATAACCTGACGAGCGTGCTCGGCGACCCATTCCTTATCGATCGAAAGTGACGAAGAATCAACAGAAGATTTGGGCTTGGAAACTTTCTTCTTGTCGGCAGCCCCTTTGAGAGGATCAATGATTGAACATGGAGGATCTCCCGCATCATTTGGGGGTGTTGGTACTAAATCAAAGATGAAACCTCGATCTAATTTTGAATTAAGCTTGCCAATTACTAACCCTACCTACAAAATCAAAATTAAATTGAAATTATACATTGAATTATAATGTGATGATGCCCTAAAATTGAGGGTTTTTTAGGAGAGAGATTAGAAAACCTGAGCAGGAATTGCAGATTGAGCAAGACGATCTTCGGCTAACTGAAGGCGGGTTTCTTCTCCGACTACAGCTTTCACCATTGTTGTTCGGATCAATTTTGATTTCTGGGCGAATATTATTAGTTGCCTAAACGGGAACTTATCAGTCTATGCGGTACGGTTCTTGCTGACTGGACATTTTTTTCCAGTTCACTGAGGCCTGTTCTTTTGAACTTCTGGGGCAAAGCAGAGCAGAATCAACCGAATAGAGCAGATTAAAATTCAGCACAACAGAGCAGATTAAATTTCAACATTATTATTAATATTATTATTAATGTTATTACTATTAATGTTGTTGTTATTATTATTATTATTTTAAGAAATTATTATTATTATTTTTTTTTTTTGAAACACTATTATTATTATTATTAATTAATTAATTAATTATTAGAATTAATATTATTAATTAATATTATTATTATTAAAATTATTATTAATTATTAAAAAATTTATTATTAATAATTATTAAAATTATTATTATTATTATCATTACTATTATTATTAATTATTAAAATTATTACTATTATTAATTAATTATTAAAATTATTTTTAATATTAATAATTATTATAATGATTCAAAATAATAAATTATTATCATCAATACAATATTAATTATTATTATTGAATATTAATTATTATTGTTGTTATTATTATTTATTATTTGAAAATTAAGCAGAGCAGAGCAAATTTCTTTTGAGTAGAGCAGAGTAGAGCAAATTTGATTTGAGCAGAGTAGGGCTCAGCACAGCAAAGCAAAGCAAAGTAGAGCAGCTCTAAAGAACGGGGCCTAAGTCTGTGTTGGGCTCGGGTCACCCAACGTAACAGGGCGCACGCACACTCCACTCCATACTAGTATTATATTGTTCGCTTTGGGCGTAGCCTGCACGTATTTGTTTTTGGGCACCTTTTCAAAAGACCTCATACTATTTGAAGTATGTACCCACTTATAGGGAAGTCTTCTCTTCCTTATTTCTTTCATGTGAGACTTAGAGCTTGTTTGGTTACCACAAATTCCATGGGCAATGAAAATTCCCATGAATTTCAATTTTCATGGGTTGTTTGGTTGCCTTGTAATTTGTAAAATGTAGGCAATGACATTTCCTTGGGAAATCAAAATAATTGTACGGTACAGGAAATTTCTCACCTTGTACCCCCTTGGTCAATTACACTTCCCACATGAATATTTTGAGTGAATTTACGGTTTTAGCCCTGAAATAATTAAAATGGCGCTGCTTTTTTTTCCATTTCTCTCCTTTTCCTGTAGCTTTTGTTTCTCTATCCAAATTCCGTTACTTTTCTAGTTGTAGGCTTTTTGGGTGTTGTGACTATTATCTCTCAATCTCTCATATCTCTCCATCTATTTTCTTCCATAATCTACCAGAGAACCAAATTATAGGAATGTAATTTTTTCTTCTTCCTTGACTTGTTTATCAATTTGATTTGTAAGAACTAGTATATCTAAAATTTCATTTTTCTAAACTTGTGTAAAGGATTTGATATAGAGGCTTGTCTAAATTGGTTTAGCAAGGGTTGAATTTTGCTTTCATTATTTCTCCGGAAATCTTGGTTCATGTAAGTAAAATGGGGGGAAATTCTCTTCGGTAGACCTCTAATAATAAACATTCTCAGTGGTCAAATGCAAAAAAAGTTATTATCCTTGGTGAACCATGTTTTAAAAAGTTTTATCAATGGTAACATTAAGCAAGGTAATTAGGCATTTCTTAACCATGGTTAACCATTCTAAGTAAAAAAAAGTTGTGATGCCTAAAATACCCTCATTTTAAAATTAATTAAAAAAATAAAAAATAAAAACCACCACCCTGCCACCACCTTCGCCACCATTCCCTCTCCCCCTCCCCCTCCTACACCAAAACCGACGCCGGCACCGGCGCCTAGCTCTACCTTCACTGGTGCGCCGACCTCCCCTGGTGACGCCCCGCCTCCCCCGCCCCCACCTCCTCTCTCTCCCCCCTTTTCGACCCTTCTTATTTTCCCCACCCAATTCCCACCGCCGATCACTCTAACCACCACAAAACCGGCGCCCTTCCCCGACGACCCCCCTCCCTTGTTCGCCGGCAAAAATCCCCCAACACACTAGAAAATACCCAAACCCGTTTAGGGTTTCGAAACCAAACCCAGGAAATGGGTTTCGGTTTTTTGGTGGTTTTGGGTAGATTTCAAGGGTTTGTGGTGGTTTTGTCGGGGAGGGGGTTCGTTGGGGAGGGGTGTTGGTTTTCGTGGTGGTTTTGGGTGTGATAAGGGCCCGACGAACGGTGGTGGGGGAACTGGGAAAGAGAGGAGGTGGGGCGGGTGGTGATCGATGGGGGAAATGGGAAAGGGAGGAGGAACGGGGTCGAGGTGGGGCGTCGCTGGCCGGAGGTGGTAGAGGACAGGCGTCGCCGACTGGAGGTGGGAAGGCAAGCCGGCTGGGGGTTAGCCACCGGCAGTGGTGCTGGTGGCTAGGTGAGGGTTTGGGTTTTTTTTTCCTTTAAAAAAATCTAAGAAGGGATTAACCATAGGGTCAAATTAGTCATTACATCATTAGTTAACTATAGTTACGCTTAAAATGGCTAATTACCTTGCTCAATGTTACCATTGATAAAACTTTTTAAAACATGGTTCACCAAGGATAATAACTTTTTTTGCATTTGACCACTGAGAATGTTTGTTATTAGAGGTTTACCAAAGAGAATTTCCCTAAAATGGGTGATATAAATTATGGGGTTCTTGAATTGACAAAAAAATTATTCCAATTTGATAACCTAGGTTTTTAACTTACCCCTTTTAATTTATCTTTTAGATTAATTCTGGTAAGAATAGCATATTTCTTAATTGGAATGGAGAGCATAGCATGGATAGAGCAGAAGGAATTATTTTTTTGCAATTTTCTGTATGATTTTGCATAATCACTAAGATAATGTTGTTTCTAGTAAAAAAAAATTAAAAACGTTTTCTGGGTTCAAATTTTGGTTTCTGGAATCTTCTAGATCTTGCTTCTTTAATTATCTGTGGGTTCAATTTTGTTAAATTTCATATATAGTTGGATGGAATTGGGGTTTAACGTTTTTGATTAGCATCTAGTATAATTGATGAACAAAGGGCTTAAATTTGTTTTGGGGGTATTAATCATGAGTCCATGATTCTGGAGATACTTTGGCTCAAATTATTTGTATTTCACTATGATTAATCACAATTTCACCATGATTCTTTATTGCTAAGGATATTAAATAGCCAGCTTTAGATATATATGAATTTGGTGTATGCTTGAACTTGGGCCCCTCCAAGGAGTATATACATTCTTTGTTTGCGTAAAAAAATGTAAGGATATATATTAAGGCATGGATTTAGGAGTAAATATTTGACTACTAGAGCATATCTTAAGAGTATAATATGAAGATATTGGTATATTGTTATTTGTGAGGTTATTGCTTGATTTTACAACTGATACTTCATACTACACAGCTAAACTTGATGAATGAATCCTATAGTGTATTTCATTTGTGCTTATTTCATTTTTGTTAATGATTTTTTACATATTTCCAATCAAATGCATTTGGAATATTGTCCATTTAAGGAGCTCTTTATATGAATGAATATATTTTTTCAACTTTCTATTTTATTTCATTGTAAATTGTAAAGTAGAATTAGTATACATTTGGTGATATAAGCTTATGAAGAGCATTGTTTATATATATTTGTCAACAATCATCAACTCCTCTCATTATTTTTGAATTTTGCTATAGATAAGATGTACAATATGCCATTATATCTTTGTCTTTCATATACTCGTATATATTTTCTAGGTACGATTAAGTTTAGATATTTAATACAACCTTCCTTTGATTCTTTTTAAAATTACTCTTATGCAACTAAGACTAATATTTATTTGTTACTCAGCTATGGCTCGTATGCCTTTAAGAAAACAGAAGAAGATTGCAACAACAGGTATTGTCATTTATAGGCAATTGATGATCATGTTAATGAAAATAATGGTTGATCTCGTGTATCTTCTTACTATTTTGAACGTTAAAATTCCAACGCCCGTAACCTACTTGATAATTTTATGGAGGAAAGGGTTTATGCTAGGATTTTCAATATTAGACCAATGATCCAAGGGAGTGATGTAGCATGTTTGTATAACCTTAGAATGGATAGAGTTTGCTTTTATAAGTTCTGTGAGATGCTTAAGGATGTTGGTAAATTGCAAGGAAATAGGAATTCAAGTTTGGAAGAAGTAGTTACTTTATTCCTTTTTACACTTTCTCATGATACCAAAAATCGAAGAACTCAATTATACTTTAGAAGGAGTGGGGAGACAATTTCAAGGCACTTCAACTTAGTTTTACAAGCTCTTCTTAGATGTCATCACCATATTCTATTCAAAAAACCAGAGCCAGTGACTGAAAATTGCCAAGATGACAGGTGGAAATGGTTCAAGGTAAGTTGCACGCAACTTATAGTAATTTTTTTTAACAAGTGCATACACATATATAAACTAAATTAATAAGTGAAAAATTATTGTAGAATTGTTTAGGTGCTTTGGATGGGACACATATCAATGTTCGTGTTGGAGACAAAGATAAAGTTAGATTCAGAAATAGAAAAGGAGAGATTTCTACTAATGTCCTAGGTGTGTGTACACGAGATATGAAATTTGTGTATGTGTTACCTGGGTGGGAGGGTTCAGCACATGACAATAGAGTTCTTCGTGATGCACTTTCTTGAAAAAATCCATTAAGAGTCCCTCAAGGTAATGCGAACATCTAATTTTTCATTAATAAGTAAATTAAATATAAAGATATGTTGAAGACTAAATGGATTAAAGACCTTTTTTTTCCTAGGTAACTACTACTTCTGTGATGCTGGATATATGAACTGTGAAGGATTTTTAACACCATTTAGGGGTCAAAGATATCATTTGAGTGTTTGGAAAAATGGTTCTCAACCACTATGTGCTGAAGAGTATTTTAACATGAAGCATTCTCAAGCAAGAAATGTCATAGAAAGATGTTTTGGATTGCTGAAAATGAGGTGGGGTATTCTACGAAACACAACTTGGTATCGTCGTAAGGTCGTATGTAGGATTATTTTG